CAGATCCTGTGGAAATGGGTCACGATTCATTAAACAAAAGCTTCCAAACACTTAAGAAACTTTCCGCTCTAAAACATGATAGAATCAGTTGCATATCCTGGTTTTAAAATCTGGTTTAAACTTCCTAACATTTTAAGAAGACTGTGAACCATCTGCATTTCTAGTTCTGCCCCTTTATTCCTCATTAACAGTAAATAAAGCAATACTAGAGAATGGTACTTTTTGACAACCATTTTCAAATAATCACTTCTTGATGATAATTACCTGTATGTCTGTCCACTGCTGTTCCAGTTTGTCCATGTCAGCAGACACAGATTCCTGGCTGTCCAGCTGCTGTTCCTTGTCCTTGACCCAGTTCAAAAGGTCGTCAAAGGACTGCTGGAACTCTTGAGAGGACAGCAATGCTGCCTCTAGCTTCTGTTGTCTGTCAGCTAAAGAAAACAAATAAAAGGCTTGCTCAGGTTGTTTTGTCTTGCATCTCATCCACTGTCATGTACATGCAAATTTCACCTCATTCCAATGTCCTATATTACAATACCAGAGAAACACTACAGACAGTTTTAAAAAATTCACAGCAGATAAACAGCTTACCAATTTTGCCAGCCACTCTGTTGAAAGGACCCTTGACAGCATCCAGTCTCCTTCCCAGCTCAGCCTGCATCATAGGATCATCATTCAGAGCCTGAAGCTTCTCACAGGACTTCTGAGCCTCCTCAAGTTTGGGCTGCACGTTGGACAGTTCCTCCTGCAACATCTTGGCTTCCTCCATTTGTTCCTTTACCACATCAGGCTGTGAGCTGACAGGCAATTGGCCATTCAGCTTGTCAGTCACTTCAGGCAGCCAATCAGAGAGCTCCTTAGTGGCATCACTGAACTTCTGACCCTCTTCCATGGAACCAGCAATTTTGCCCTCTCTGCCCTTCAGTTGCCCGGTTAGCTCCTCCCCCTTTTTGATTTACAGCTGCCATCTGTTGGCCAATAGGGGAAGCTTTGGCAGCATCTGCATCCATGGAATCAAGGATTGCTTGTCCTGATTGGTTGAGCTGGTCTAGTTGAGGCTTGTGGCTCTCAAACTCACTTAGGATGACCTAAACAAAAGACGTAAATGTCAAATACACTGAAAATCATACTGTAACATGATTATTTTATCCCTTTACATAAATTAAAACCTCCTCCACATCCCAAACTATCATCATTACCCTACAGAGACCTCACTTCATAAGGTACTCCTAACAGTGAGTCTGAATTGCGAGGTATAACATTAACAGCTATAACGTAGCCCCAAAGCACTCCATTTCCTCACCTCCACTTGCTGCTGTTGGTTCTTCAGCATGGCTGCATCGATGGCCAGCGGGCCCAGCACAGCCACCATCTTCTCCTTGTCAGCCAGCCAGCAGGACAGCTGCTGCTGTGCTGCTGTGAAATCCTGCAGGTTTCCGCTGGCTGCTTCCAGCTGCTGCTGTTTGCTGGCCATGTCCTGCTCCAGCTGCTTCCACTGGTCATCTGCAGAGTAAAAACAAACAAACACAGATGAACGGTCATATCGTTAAGTCCAAGATGACAGAGCTGTTGGGGTAGATTAAATGCACTAAGTAAAACCTTTGGCATTCTAAATACCAACAATACAAGCTATTATACAGTCAAACCTTCCTGATAACCATAACTGCATGACATGCAACATTACCATGTAGTAGTCTGTAATACAAACATACAATACAACAGAGCTGTACACAGGTGGATAAGACTTAGAGACCCTACCTATGGCGCTGAGTTTGTCCATGACCTTGTCGGTGCCCTCTGCGTCAGGTTTCTCCTCCAGCAGTGCCTGTGCCGTGTCCTTCAGACTCTGTCTCAGGGTGGCGTGGTGAGACAGACCCTCCTGAAGGGCCTGGGGAGACAGGACAAAATAAGTCACTCATGTCTTTGCCAAGTTATAATTCCAAGCTATAACTGCAGGACTGCATTGCTATAACTGCAGGACTACAAAAAGTACATTGTATTCATTCCCCAAAAAGCTAAGATTGCATGACATTGCATTGCTGTTTTCCAACTAGGGTGAGAGATGTACAGTTGAGCACTTCAGACCATCCTGGCTAGGTGTAACAAAGGACTGTTACCTATTTAGAATAGTGGCAAAGTACATGACTGTGAAATGTACATATTGCTCACCTTTTGCTGCTGTATCTGTTGCTGGACAGTCTTAGGGTCAGTTGCCGTGGGAACCCATGACTCGGCCTTGGCCTTGGCATCTGCCAGCCATTCTGCCAACTCCTCCCCCTCCCTCTGGAACTTCTCAGCCAAACCACAGGTGTCCTGTAGGTCAGCTTTCCTGTTCTCTAGCTCATCCCCAAGGGAGTGGTACCTGGAGTTGGCATCAGTCAGCTGCTGCTGCATGGCAACTACTTCTGTAGAACATAAGTTACCATGGTTACCAACCACCTACCATATTTCAAGTCTTTCGCAGATAATTCGCATGACAATTCACATCTTTACTTGTTAATACACAAAATTGTTCAGTAAATTACTCATTATTCAGTAAATATTAACGAACAACATACATGTCAGTACATTTTCACGTATTTGAAATATTGGTATCATCATTTCCTTGATTCTTACAAGCACACATCAGGAGCGACCATGCCCAGATGCAGAAATGGAGACTTCAGAATTGGGAGAATTCAGATATGAGAACATGAAAACATGAAGGCTGGGAAAGAAGGGAAATGGACATGTGGAAGGAGGTGGAAGGAGGAAAAAGTTTTCATGGAGTTTTAATCTTTTTCTACTCGTGAGAAAACTATCAACTTTATCATTTCTTGGACAGCAAAGATAAGTAGGAGGAAAAAGGTGGGAGCTTTTATGTCAGCAGTACACCCTTCTTCATTGGATGCGAGGACATACATATACGGGTAGGTGGGCAAGTCAGGGAATGTGGAAGAAGGACGGTTGCTAGCTAGGTTCCATTTTCAGTTCATAGAACAAACAGTTACTGTGCTACCTGAGGGTTTCTGGCTTTTCTCGTTGCCACCCTACCTTCGGATGGGAGACCGTTAGTCTCGGCATGGTCAGTGCCGTTGTGGCTGATAAAGCCGCTGGAACTGCGAGACATACGATCAGGGCTGGTCACACCTGGGGGAGGGGGGCAGGCCGGGGTCAGTGTGTCAACGACTCGCCAGGACAACACAAACACCAGGGGTACATGCACATGGGTTAGGGCCTCAGTAGGAGGGAACTGGCTGTCCAGCATTAAACACAGAGTACTGGCATAGAATCAAACAGTGAAAGTCATTACTCAAGTCAAGTGTCAGTCTCAAATGAGTTACAACAATTATAGATTAAGGTAACAGAGAGAAATCATATTTGATTGACATCCAGTACCCACCAGTCATTGTCTTAAACAGTTTGACAAATAAAACAATACAAACATGAAATTTCAACAAATTATTCCAGTCAAAGTCTTAAATGCTTAAAAGCATGATTTCCT